TGCAGTGGCTACAGAGAGCTTCATAAGTCCTGCGACTTAATCCCTTGCACCACCAGGGAGGCCCCAGTTTCACTCTTTGAATCAGGGTGACTTGGTTTCTGTTTGCTGTTTATTGTCACAGTCCTTTAGTCAAAGTTTGAGTAAGGGATGAATGCAATGCTTCACACCTGCCTCCACCCTGCTGCTCACCTAGGCAGGGCAGGTGTGTATACCCCAATCCTCTCTCCTTCTTTTCCTCTTCCCCCACCCTGGTCCCAGGTAGGAGGGGGCAGCTGAAACCAGTCCTGAGGAGGCTGTGAGGCCAGGAGGCAGAGGGCCAGGGGGGAGACCCCCTTAGCATCAGAATAGAACAGAAAACGCCTCAGAGAGGTTAAGGGAGGCACCAGAGATGAGGGCAACAAATTCCAAGTGGGGATCAAATTCCAAATGGGGAATCAAACACCTTAGGACTGGGGGCAACAGGACATTCTGGAACTAGGACTGTAAAGAAAAAGGACTCTAAGATAATAGCTGGGACAAAGAGACTTAGTTCTGGGCACAGAGATATTAAATCAGTGAGTGAGACTGTTACAGGGTACCCCAATGTGAATTGGGTTGCCTGTCTGTGGGACTTCACCCATGCGCTATGATTCAATCGTATTATGGACACACTCAAAAGGCTAAATAATGGATTTATTTATAAGGAGAAAGGTAAAGGAACACCCCAGGGAAAGAGGGAGAGAAACACAGGTTAACTAGAATGTCCTACCAGTTCTGCTGACGTGGACTCCACAGCACGCTGAAAACTGATTGAGCACCAAAACGATCAGCTGCGAACCACCAGGCCGAGAGCCCCCCAGAGCCCACATGTCCGGTTTTATCCCCACCTGGCTGCTCAGCTCCGCCCTCACGAACCAGTTTGCTTCTCCTTGGTATTGATGGGATTAGTAGTTCCAGTATCTGGAGTGGGGCCGAGTCCGTGAAACTGTACCTGTTACAAGAACACCAAGAACTAACCAATCACTGTTAGACTAATTAGGAACAGAAGGTGTATATTCCCTGAGACATGACTCCACTTGGGCTCTCTCGCCCCTCCCTGGCCTGGTTCTATAACACGGTGGTCCCTAGGAAAAGGGGAAGTTCCAGGTTCCCTGTCCCACCCGGAAGGAGGGTGGAGCTGAGCAGAGAAGAGAAGAATCTGGAGAGGAGACTGAAGAGGAAGGAAGCAGGATGGAGGCCAGGAGGATACTTGAGGGGGCACATGGAGCAGAGCAAGGCGAAGAAACTGTGTTTGCTTCTTGGTCCTGGGCTGGTTGACACAGATGCGGGTGAGAGATCCATGGGGAAGTTTACTATGGCAGTGTTAATCTTGATTTTGATTTTGTTTTTTTCCTCCCAGATTTGTCTGGCCATTTCTGACCCTTTTCTGTGGGTCCTGGCCAGAAGGTGCTTTAGACTTGTGGCAGCTTTCAGGCCTTGCTTTGGGCCAACCCCTTTTGGGTGGACTTTTACCCCCAAGGAGACAGGTATCTTTGGGTGTTTGATTTAGAAACTATATTCTTTGTCTTTTCTGTATTGCACCCTGATTAAAGTTCCTTTCCATTAAAGCTCTTGTCTTGATGCGGCAGATGGCAGAACCCATTTAAAGCAGGCAGGCTTAGGGGTGTGGTGGTGCCCCTCTCTCCCTGCCCTGTAACAGATTCAGTGGCCTGGGACTCCCACTTTATCTCTGTTCCTTTTCTCCTCAATAAGCTTTTTCTTTCTTTAAACCAATTCCTCCCCACCCTGCCCCCCTTGCAGTCTGAATGCCTTCTTAGTTCCTGCTGCAGCTTTGTGAGACACCAACCCATGGTGGTCTAGTGGCCAGGACTTAGCACTGGCCCTGTAGCCTGGGATCTGTTCCTGGCTGGGAGACCAGGCCTGAACACCTGACATTTTCAGTATTACTTTAGCAACAGGAGAAGCAGTCAAGTTTAAGCTGTAGGCCCCAAAGCTCTAGGGAAATCCCATCAGACTTCACTTATAAACACAAATTGGGAGACCTTCCTGGTGGCCTGGGGTGAGTCTCAGCACTGTCACTGCAGTGGCCTGAGTTGGATCCTTGCAGAGACATAATCCATATAGAGTGCAGCAGACCTCTCCTGTCTCACCAGCTGTTCCTCTCTGCAGTGTGTTTCAGTAGATCTGCCTGTCTCTGGTGACTCCTCTTAACCACCCCACCTCACATTTCTGGCCTATACCCCCAATTCTTATATGCACAAATAAGTAAAAATAAAATAAAAATTTAAAACTAAAACAAAACACAAAATGAAAAACATATTAAGCATTTGAAGACATTAAAAGCCAGTGTCCCCTTGGAAACAAGAGGCCTGGAGTGACTGACTGCCCTGGTCTCAGGCCCATGAGACCACTTTGTACACAGGTGGAGCCCTTGTTCAAGGAGTATTTATAATTTCAATGACTATTGATGAAGAACCTGGACAAAGTTATATATATTGTATAAGTGCATGTACCTCATTAGAGCTATGATGGAGATACATGAATAAGTCCCTGTCAAGGGTGGATGGTAGTCAGGGACACTCAGGGGGACTTCCACTGTCCTATCCACCTCCTCCACTATTCTCCACCCCCCACAAGCGCCCCAATCCACAGCAGGGCTTTCTGTTTTCCTCTGGAACAACTTCTAGAGGCATACATTTCAAGGGGAATTTGACATTTCCACTTTTGCAGCCTGGTTTTTGTTTCTGTTTTTTAAGTATTCAATTAATGCTAGCTGCTTTTTAATTTTTTAAGATTTATTATTTATTTATACATACAGAACTGGGGTACAAGCCAGAGGTGCAGGGGTGGTGAGAGGATTCACCAGAGACAGAGTGGGGAGCAGGACAGACAGATCGAGGAAGTACACTGCTGAGGGGAGCAGGAGGGGTCAGGAGGGGTCTGCCGCGCCATGTGGATCACCTCCAGGATCACCTCCAGGGCCGGGTATGGGCTCACACTGAGGCTGGCTTGCAGTGCTGCCTCCTAACCCTTTGTGCCAACAGCCCTGTTTTTATATTATAGTATTTGTGTATTTAAATTGATATTCCATGGAGACCAAATGTCTGATATATTGGAGCCTCTGGAATAAAGCAGTCAGGCAATGTGGAGACAGAGATTCAAGATTTAATTCAGGCTTCCAAATATTGGCCAGCAGGGACCATCATCCTCTAGAGAGTGAGGCCCCGAGCAGTTCCAGAAATCAGTTTTTATACACTGCAGGCAGGGAACTGAAACACAGTTGTTACAGAGATAATATTCTTACAGTGGGCCCTAGGATGTTTGTCAAGTCTTAGCAAACCATAGGAACCGCATCCTGGTCCTGTTGCAGACAGTAATTAGTTTTACAAGTTTTTTTTTTTACCTTTTAAAGCAAAGTTATTTGGGGAATTTCCTATTATAGCAAGCAGCAAGCAGAATACAGAAGCAAAATGGCATTAGCTTGGTTCAATACAGATCCAACTGATAGACTAATTTATATTCACCTGGTCAGAGGTTTCATAGGTGCCCTGGAGAAAGGAGAACATGGGCTTGAATCTACATGATGCAGGTAACAGTGAGGCTGGTCCACACAGTGAAACAAGGGGCTTTTTTTTTTCAGTGCATTTTTTATAATATAATAGTTTATTTTTACATCATTTTGTGAGTTTTTATTTATTTATTTAAGATTGATTTTATTTACTTATGCATACAAGAACTGAGGTTAGGCCAGAGGTGGGCCTGGTGGATGGTGATGGTGAAAGGATTCACCAGATACAGAGTGGGGGGAGGGACAGGACAGAAGGATCTATGAAATACATTGCTGAGAGGAGCAGCAGGAGAGACAGATCTGCCCAGCCATGTGGGACTGGTGATTGCTTGGTAGAAATCAGACTTTAACCCTGTGCCCAGGGAGGCCAAGCCAGGGGCTTTCATACCCGTGTATTTATATAGATAACACAGAGAGACAGACCACAAAAATAGAGAGAACATAAAACTGTAACAGGATGGTCCCTAGGAAAAGGGGAAGTTCCAAGTTCCCTGCCCCACCCAGAAGGAGGGTGGAGCTGAGCAGAGAAAAAAGAAGAGAAGAAAGAGAAGAAAAGAAGGAAGCTGGATGGAGAGCCAGAAGGAGACCTGAGGAAGCCACATGGAGCAGCAAGCATGTGATGAAGAAACCCGTGCTTGTGTCCTGACCCTGGACTGGTTAAGGCAGATGTGGGTGAGATACCTGTAGGGAGGTGACTATGGCAGTGTTTATATTGATTTTGATGTTGCTCTTTTCCTCCCAGACTTGTTTGGCCATTTCTGACCCTGCTCCATGGGTCCCGGCCAGAAGGTGCTTTAGTCTTGTGGCAGCTTTCAGGCCTTGCTTTGGGCCAATCCCTTTTGGGTGGACTTTTGCCCACGAGGGGATGGGTCACTTCAGGTGTTTGATTTAGAAGTTATATTCTTTGTGTTCCGTATTGTATATTCACTGTATTAAAGTCCCTTTTCATTAAAGTTTTATATGTTTTGATGTGACGCAGCGGATGGCAGAACCCACTTAGAGCAGGCAGGTTTGGGACTTCAGGGGTGTCCCTCTCTCCCTGTCCTGTAACAGATTTTGTCCTGAAACAGATTTGGTGTCCTAAAACAAAACCACAGCTGTTCTGTCAAAGGTTTAAATTGTATCCTCTGCCCAACTGTGCGCCTCCCATGTGTCTTCCTTGTTACTACTTTGGAAGTAAGGCACCAATATTTTCACCTTTCGTGAAAACAAAACAAAACAAAACATTCAGCTGGTTACAAATCAGGCTCTTAAGTTTGCTTTCCTTTTCTCCAGAAGTGGGAATGAATTTATGCTGATTTTGACCAAAATGTTATAAGGAAGAGGCATTAAGCTGTTCTGCAGCTCTTCATGGGGTACAAGAGTTAAGCAGATGGCAGTGAGATGTGAAGAAGACACTTCCGTCGCCAGAACTGTCCAATCCGGGCGGGAAGAGTAGCTTCCTCCTCTCCACGTTCACGATAACATTGAGTGAGAGGTCAGGCGAGGTAATCCTAAGGTTTTTTCCTTGCGGCAGGATCCTGCAAGAGTATCAAATGTCACTCTCCCATCCCCCACCTGCTCCCGGTTCCTTTCCATTTCTCTGGCACCTTCACTTTCTCGCCAAATTGCCCGCAGGACCTGGAGGTGCTTGCGGCAAGAACCCGAGGCGCCCCAGTCTGCCCGGCAACAGTGACGTCACTGCTTCCCCGCGGAGTATTGGTTGCTGGGAGCCTTTGGAGGCGGAGACTGCGGCGTTTACAAACAAGCTCAGTAGAGCTTCCCGGGAGCGGTGCGGAGAATCCAGTTCCTTCACTGCCCTTTCGCCCAGACTCACTGCCCTAGGTTACCGGCTTTGCTCCGCTACCTCTGCCTGGGTTCTCTGCTCTAGTCCGGCTTGGATTAGGCGGCCTGTAATGCTGCTTGGCCAATAGCTCAGGAGCCGGGAGACTCAGGTGGGCATTCTGGTCGGTACCTGGTGCAGTACCTGAGCGCACCCGCCCAGCGAAATTGCTCCGACCCCAGAAAAAGCGGCAGTGGCCATCTTGGAACAGCTGCCACTTTACTTACCGAGGCTGGCAATTATGGGATTTTTTTTTTTTCTCTAGAAGAGGAAACGACCCGGAGGGTTAAATAGGAGGTATTCCAGGACTCGTAACATTAGCTCCAGAATATGGGAGACACTGCATCTTCACATATCATAGGGTATATAGAAGCTTGGGATGTTTAGATTAAATTCCTGCTCCACCCAGCTGATTGCTAAACAGGTCACATTCAAATTTTCTGTCCTGTAGGAAGACAGTAACCTTGGATAGCTTTAAAAAGCCTCCGCTTCTTCATAAAACAGGAATTATGTCGCGGCAGACCTCTCCTGACCCGCCCGCTGCTCCCCTCAGCAGTGTACTTCCTCGATCTGCCTGTTCTGCTCCCCACTCTGTTTTTGGTGAATCCTCTCACCGCCCCTGGCATCTCTGGCCTGTACTCCAGTTCTGTATGCACAATTAAATAAATCTTTAAAAATAAAATAGGAATTATGTCACTCAATTTGTGGGGTTCAGGTGAGGCTCAAATGAGACATACGGTGCACAAAATGCTTAGGTCTGTGTGGGGTTCTCAGTAATCATCACCCGCCTACCTGTGCATAGGCAGTTAGGTCAGACGGCAGGACTGTGTATTGCTCTCTCGAGTACTCCCAGGTGTGGAGAATGAGAACCATATTGCTGAAAGAGTGAATTGCAAAGCAGAAACCCCGCCCTTAGTTTCCACTGATTTCCAGGTTGTATTCTCCTTTCCTGCAGTGGGTCTCCCTCCCTCCTCCACCCCCCCCCATCTCCTTGCCTTCTAACTCCTCTTGGTCAATGAAGACATTTTCCTTGACCACACTCATTTGGTAACTCAGAGATTGGTATTGTGATTATAGACTGCATTCTGGATTAAGGGCTTTCTTTATGTCCTGATTGGGAATTTCATGTGTCTGCTGGCCTGGAAAGGATTATTTTGAGAAACAGGGATGACTCACGATACAGTGACTTTAGCTGCTACTCAGAGGCCGGGCACAGGTGGATTCTGAAGCCAGTTTCTTCTTTCTCCTTCACAAGAGCAAGGTGCAGGTACTCTGGTTTCAGGAAGGGCACACACTTGTGTTTCTTACGGTTACAGGGCACCCCAGTGTGAACTGGGCCACTTGTCTATGGGGCCTCACCTGTGCGCTTAAAATTCCCTTGTATTGCAGACACACACAAAAGGGTCAAAATGGGTTTATTTACAAAAGGGGAAAAGAACAGGAAACAACCCAGGGAAAGAGAGAGATACAAAGTAACTGGAATACCTTACCAGCTCAGCTGACTGAAAACTGCTGTCATGCAGTCCCCAGAGCCAGATCCCGAGCGACAGCAAGAGATGCAAAGGCACCCTATTTATCCCCCAATGTCCCAGAATGCCTGCTTAGCTCTGCCTGCTTAGCTCTGCTCTTGGGTTCTCTCAGTTCTCTCCCTGGTACTGCTGGGAGTTGTAGTTTCCAATCACTGGAGTAGGGGGGTAGAGTCCAGAAAGCCAGAGTAGGGGTGGAGTCCACAAGTCTCTGCAAAGATCCTTTAGGACCTCCTTCCCCTTAACATTATCGCTATCAAGCTATTGTCAGCCAGTGAGGCATGAGTTCAATCCCTTTACAGGGAGGTGAAGGTACAGCAGACCTCTCCTGTCTTACCCGCTGCTCCCCTCAGCAGTGTATTTCAATCAGGCTGCTTGTTCTGCTCCCTATTCTATCTCTGGTGAAGCCTTTCATACACCCCCCCCCCACACACACACACTGACCTGTACCTCAGTTCTTACATGCATAAATAAATAAAATAATTTTTTTAAAAAGAGAAAAATGTGTGATGAGAGGAAAAGCTGTTATTTAATATATTTGACTATAAGATTTTAAAAAAGATTTATTTATTTATGCATAGAGAGCTGGAGTACAGGCCAGAGGTGTAGGGGCTGTGAGAGGATTCACCAGAGACAGAGTGGGGGCAGAACAGGTAGATAGACAAGGGCTAGCAGGGGAGGTCTGCTGTGCCATGTGGTCATCACTTCCAGGGTGGGGGATCGAACTTGCACTGAACTGGCTGCCTCTCTGCTCTCTTGCAGTGCTGTACTTTAACCTCCTGTGCCACCAGGGAGGGCCCTGACTATAAGATTTTTTAATATGCTTTTGAAGTGTTGGTTCAGGTACTGATTACTACCACCCCAAATGTCCAACCAACTTAGTCTGTTAATGCTGTTCCCGCAGAGAAACTTGAGGAGTTTGTAAGGAATTGGTAACCTATAAAGGGCTGGAGTACTAAAATCTGCTAGGGTGGAGTCAATGTGGAGATATGTGGTCTAGGGTTGAGGTGGTGTGGACGTGGGAACGGTGGTTTTGTTTTGGTGTGGTCATACTCCTTCTGGGGTGGCCTTGAAACCTCATTGTGATTTCAGCTACGCAGCAGCACAACTTTCTTGCCTAACAGGGTTAATCTGGGATATACACTATTGTATTCAAATCAGGGTTGGGAAACTGCTGTGAGACTTAATAGAAACTGGGAACTTTCCCACTATTTCATGTACTGGTTAATATATTTTCACAGTGAGCATATGGTATTTATGATAATGATTTTTCCTAAAGTTACAAAACAAACACCTGAAAAAGCTTAAGGAGCTTAAGGGAAAATGTTTAATTTCTGAAAGGGCCTAAGCGTCCTTGTAACTGGTGCCATCTAGTGGTTATACTAGGTCATTGCTATGATGTTGGCCATAAAGGAAGAGTGGTGGAACAGCGAAGTTCAACAGGGATAACTAGGTGAGAGTATTTTGTGGATGACATGCCATACTCAGTTGCCAATGTTGGACAGTGTTTATATTTAATGAACTCTAATCCATCAATTCTCACATTTAAATACTGGGTGCTGTGTAACATGCCAACCGGAAGAATCAACAATCAACGGAGGAAAAACTAATTTGTATTCATTGGGAGTTTGTACAGCTTCAAAACATTTTCTATGACTGTATTTGTTAGTCATCGTAACATGTGAGATAAGTATATCAGACAGTTGTATTTGATTAAAAGTGAAGCAAGTGACTAAGTTGAGGCCAGAGAGCTGTGAAGGGTCCAAGTTCAGCCAGATGTATTGACAGAGCAAGACCTGGAACCTGGACTTGAGGCTACCAACCCCGCATTCCTTCCCAGGTGATTCTGCTGCAGATGCAGGTGGAGGTTGTCAGCTAGATTTTGCATCTAGATATTTTAATAAGACTGATAGTTCTTATTAAGTTTTTCCACCAATTCTGTGGCTTTTGTTTTCTATGCCTTTTTATTATATTCCCCAAGCTGAACTCTTTCTAGAGAGTGGATTTTTAGTGACATTGTTAATTTATATATAATTTCTTCCTTTTTAAAAAAGATTTATTTATTTATGCATACAGAACTAGGGTATAGGCCAGAGGTGCAGGGGTGGTGAGAGGATTCACCAGAGACAGAGTGGGGAGCAGGACTAGCAGATCGACGAAATACACTGCTGAGGGGAGCAGCGGGCGGGTCAGGAGAGGTCTGCCGCGCCATGTGCGCCACCTCCTGGTGGGCAGGGATCGAACTCATGCTTCAGTAGCTTTAGCTTCTTAGTGCTGTGCTTTAACCCGATGCGCCACCAGGGAGGGCCCACTTTTTTCCTTTTCAACAAAACAAAAACAAGAAGAGGAGGCCTTCCTGGTGGTGCAAAGGGTTAAAGCGCAGAACTATGAAGCTGTCCACAGCCACTGCAGCACGAGTTTGATCCCCCTGCCAGGGAGCTGACCCACATGGCACAGCAGACCTCTCTTGTTTCACCTGCTGTTCGGCAATGTATTTCAGTGGGTTTGCCTGGTCGGCTCCCCACTCTGTCTCTGGTGAATCCTCTAACATCTTGCACCTCTGGCTATACCCCAGTTCTTGTAAGCATAGATAAATAAATTCTAAAAAAAATTAAAAAACAAGATTTAAAACTTTAACTTCCTCTTGTCTTCTAATCATCAGCATGTATATGTATGTAATTCCACCCCAAAGTAAGCAAATGTGACATTTTAATTAACATGCATAGCAAATTTATGTATCTGCTCTGATTTTAAATTGTGAACATGTAGCATGGATTTATTTCGCTCGCTTTCTAGATTCTAGTTTTAAAATTGATAGCCTATTTCACTCATCTCTATGATCTCAAAAATGACTTTGTGTTGAATAAATAAAAACCTATAATCAACTAAGCTTCTTTCCAACACTTAATATATTTTTTCTTTGTTTTTTTAATAGTTTATTTTTACATCATTTTGTGCCTTTTTCCATCTCAGTTGTAATCCCCATGGGCTTCCCACCATCAAATCACCGCATTCTATCACCATAGTCCATTACACTCCCCTCCCACTCCCCCCCCCCCATTTTTGATCCCATTTCCCCTCCACCCTGGAAAAATGTCTCTGGTATATAGTTGTTCATTATTATTATCCCCCCCCCCCGGTCCTTTATACTGCTGCCATGAGTGAAACCATC